GCCCCCCCCCTGGCGGCGCCTCCGGCGCCGCCCCTGGCGCGCTCCGCGAGCCAGGGAGGGAGGTCCAGCTCAAATCCAAGAAATCCGCGCGGACCGCCAAAAGTTCATGCTTATGGCTTTTTCTGCTTCTCCAGGAAAGGCACCCATACCGCTACCCTTCGGCCGTTTTCCCTTTTTGGGCCTCCTGGGCGGCCCTCGTCGCCACCGCTGGGTTCGCCTCGAAATCCTGGTCAGAGCGCACCCCAGGAGGGGTCCGAGGGGGTGTCGGTACCTTTCGGTTTCCCCATTCGTGCGTCGCCCTTTCGTGCTGTTGAGCGTGCAGTCGTGGCTGGTAGGTTCTCTCCCGTCGGGCGCGACCTTGCCGGACGGCCCCAGCGCCTGACTGTTCAAGAGGCGTCCGAGCGAGAAGCTCTGCCGCTGACCGCGACGGTGATGTGCCTCCTCCTGGACTGCGCGCTCACGGTGGCAGCGGAGGTGGGGGCGTCCGAGCTCCGAGGCGGGAATCTATGCATGACCACCGCCTGGAGGATCCATTTTCGGGGACTTCGGCAGGCGGTGGATCTGGACATTTTCGGGCCCCCGTGGGTCAAGATATATCCAGATCCACCGCCCGCTGGGGCGCCAGGACGTCGGTTCGCAGGCGGTAGATCTGGATAAATCCCCGCCTCGCACGAGCGCGTCCTCCCCGCTCTGGCAGAAGCGGCCCTGGCACGTGGGGCCAGCGTCAGCGCCGATGCGACGGGCGTGCTAGGCCACCCTGAGGCTTCCTCTGCGCAGTGAGGGGGCCAGCGCCAGCATTGGCCTCTTCGCCGGCCAGGTGGAGCCCTTTCACTCGCCAGGGTGGGGTCCCTTCACCGGCTGGTGTTCACCGGCGGATTGGGCGTTCGGCGAGAATTCTGGGGGCCGGTGAATGACACAGTGGGCGGCTTTGGCACATCTTGTCATGTTCAACGCGTGTTTTTCCAAGCCTCCGGAGAGACGGCAAGCGCACTCGATTGCGAAAGGTCATTGCAGAGCTGATTACATGTTGGTCGACAGGAAGTTTTGGCAGCGTGTTGCAGGCAGCGATTGTTCGAGTTACGTGAACCTTGGATTTGACTATGATGCTGTCAAGATGGTTGCTTTCAGTAGCGCGGTTCGGAAGAAAACCTTGGGCCGAGACGTCGCCAGGGACACCATTGCGAGAGTTTCGTGGGATACCATATTAACGCGGGCTGATTGCAATGCAGTTGCCGAAGAGATGCGAAACACGAGTTTCAATGAAGGATCTCACGAGCGGGCCATCAACGTAGAAACGATTTGAGACAAGCTGCCGAGCAGAACTCGCGCCACGCCGATTGACATCCGAGATCTGCAGGGATATCGTTGCAAATGCGTCTGGAGGAACTGGTCGAGATTCGCACCCCCCTACCTGTGCATGAGTTGTCGGAGCGAGCCCAAGGGAGCAAACGCACCCAGAAATTTGTCCCAGTCGTAGCGAAGAAACTGCGGAAGCGAGCAGCCGCATCAGCACAATCATCGAGAAGTTCGCGGGAGTGAAGCACATGCAGAAGGTAAAATCTCAGGGGGCGCGCCAGATGGTACCGTGCATGCTGGACGGGGTCTCGGGCAGGCATGACCCAAGTATCTATGCATTTTCTGTAAGCTGCACTTACTCGTGTTATCTGTACAATTCAGCTGAAGTAGGTTGTGGAATTTGATGTTCTTTCCGCAAGCGTGTAGCAGGCGGTCTCTGTTTCGGATTTTTTCTCAGAGGATGTCAGACATTATGGGCGTAGCCAAACTTGGGCTGTTGCGTTGATAGCCAGGGTACTTATCGTCGGGGAGATGTTTTTTTGGATGGCGGGGAACTATTGGTGCATATTTTCATAAGCTTGTGCTATTGCTTGCTCACGCCAGATACGGTGCCGCCATCTACGTGGAAGCAGGCAGTCATCCAGGTATAGCGTCAATTCGACAACGAAATCATCTGCCGATCACAAGCATCCCAATTATGTACACAGCGTTTTCCCGTCTTCTCTATTCAGTCGCTTGTCTTATGCGTCGGATGCACATGTTCTTTGCGACCAGGCACCGGGCGGGCTTCAGGAACACATTTCGGACAGGGCCGTAAGGTTACATTAAATTTGGTTCAAGAATTGTTTGGCGAGCGCAGAATTCCATTATGGTTTCCCCTTTCGATTTCCAGAAAGCTCCTGATTCTGTTGAAACCAGTCCTGTGGAACGCGCTTGCCAGGCAGGGCGCGTTCACTTATGTGAGGTTGCTTATGGAATTAAAGGGGTAGGTAACCACAGATGCGCCAAACAGGTGGTTCAGCATTACGCGTCGAACAAAGGCAGGCCAATCCCATCAGCTCGCTCGCTTCCAACACCTTGTACGAGGATACCATGGGGCAGAGAATATGGGGTCCAGCTTGGGTGCGCGCGCCTCTCCCAGCTCACAAATTCAGATTTGTTCACGATGCTGTGGTATTTGGGCAGCGCTCGCAACATATTTCACGAATGCACTCCAGTGTGCGCGAGGTCAGTGCTGCTGCCGGCATGGAGCTCCACCCAGACAAGACGAATATCTTCACGAACGCGACGCGGGGAAGCGGGTGAGGCAGGGGTACGCACATGAACATGAATGGCGCGCGCATCGAGATTTTATGTTAGCAGACGCTGGGGCGCATGGCCGGATTTGACGGCGCAGGCGTCGCAGAGGTAGACTACAGGGTTCGTCAGGGTTGAAAAGGCGTTCGTGGTGAACAAAGTGGAGGTGACCAACCAGCCCTGCTCACTGAAATTACGCTTGCGTTTGTTCGATGCCATGGTGGCCCTTTCCGATCTGCCCCGGGCTTCAAGCTGGGTTTTGACATCCGTTCAATCATAAGCTGTAGACCGCGCGAGACCGTAAGCGACGCAGGCTTGTTGGTTCGTGGCGATGCCGCGCGCTTCCACGGGAACCAGACATGGGATTCAGCCCGACAGCAGACGAAGGATTGAACATGCCATGCAACATTATCTTCCGATGGTAATCTGCACAGCCCTGGGCCGATTAGGGCCGACTGGATCGAGAAGGTCAATCTTCACATCGGGGATCACATGGGTAGGCGGCGTATCGAGAGTTGGTGGACCACCCTGCGGCGCAGAATCCAGAAGTATGCGGCCAGAGTGGCCAATGTGCTCGCGAACATATGGACAGTGAAAACCGTTTTTTGGCAGCCGAAACGAGACCCCCGCGCTGAAAACATACTTCCTGGACCCGCCCAGAAACGGTGGGGAAACGAAACCGTCAGTTTCTTACGTGATGCGGGACATGTGCAAGTTGGGAGTTGGCTCGCTCACACTGGCAAGGTCCCGCCATGGAGAGCCTTCGAAAACAGGCTTGTGAAGCACAACATCTGGGGCACTGCGTTGCCAACCGCCCGCGCCCCGCGTAAGCCCAGGCTCTGCCTTCGAATGGGTGCCTGCCTGCCAAACGGTCGTTTTTTTGGGGGTGGGGGTGGGGGTGGGGGGTGGGTGGGTGGGTGAGTGGGGGTAAAACAATATATTATACATAAAGTGTGTGTTGCATGTGGATTGCCAGGAACGAGCGTGCAGTGGCAGAGTCGCCGTTGGCTTCTTGGATAGTTGATTTTCGATGCTTTCTGGAGGGTGGTGAAGACACCACTTTCGAATATGCACCAAGGTGGACATCGCGATGGAGAACACAGAAAACACGGAAGATAATGAGGAGGAAAAGGAAACGGAAGAGGGGAGACCCCGCAAAGCAGTGTTTGATGGCGTATTTTGCTTCTCTGGAGGGCTGCCGAGTTGTCGTCGTCCTCGTCCTTGCCCTCGCCCTCGTCGTCGTCGTCGTCGTCGTCGGTGTCCGTATGATGGCGATGGCGACGGTGACGGCGGCGACGATGTCGATGAGGATAATGATGATGATGATGACAATGATGATGGTGACGATGGTGGTGATGGTGGTGGTGGTGATGGTAAGGAGGAGGAAGATGACGACAGCAGCGACGACAACACCGACGACGACGTCGGTGCTGATGATGCAGATGACGATCGTAATGATAATGTTGGTGATGATGATGATGGTGGTGATGCTGCTGATGATGATGATGGTGATGATGGTGATGATGGTGATGATGATGATGATGGTGATGATGATGATGATGATGATGATGATGATGATGATGCTGATGATGAGCATGATGACATGATTCCCCACTCAGAGGTTGCCTCTGTAGGGTCCCATCGGATTCATATGGTTAAGTGGGGTGCGTCTGGAATTTCGGCGACTCGCCCGGGTGCCCGGGTGCCCGGGAGGTGCGTCGCCGATTTCGGCGGCCCGCTTGGGTGCCCGGGTGCCTGGGTGCCCGGGTGCCTGGGTGCCCAGGCGCCCGGGTGCCCGGGTGGGCGGTAGCCTTATAGCCTTAAGGCCTCATAACTTTATAGCCTTATAGCCCTATAGCCCTAGAGCCCTATAGCCCTATGGTTCTTTGGCCCTATAGGCCAATAGCCCTATAGCCCTACAGCCTTACCCTACAGCCCTATAGCCCTATAGCCTTATAACCATATAGCGGCTAGAGGGCTAGAGGGCTATATTATAGCCCTCTAGCCCTATAGCCCTATAGCCCTATAGCCCTATAGCCTTATAGCCCTATAGCCCTATAGCCCTGTAGCCCTACAGCCCTACAGCCCCAGAGCCCTATAGCCCTATAGCCCTATGGCCCCATAGCCCTATAGCCCTATAACCCTACAGCCCTATAGCCGAATCGCCATGTACCCCTGTAGCCCTACATCCTTATAGCCCCATTTCCTTTTAGCCCTACAGCCCTATAGCCCAATAGCCCTACAGCCCTATAATTCTATATGCCTTATATGCCTTTAGCCCTATAGCCCTATAGCCCGATAGACCTATAGCCCTACGGCCTTATAGCCCTGCAGCCCAATAGCCCTATATCCTTAAACATATCCTGATTGGGGTCTGTCTATGGTATCATTATGGCGATGGTGATGTTGATGATGATGGTGGTGGTGGTGGTGATGATGGTCATGATGCTGATGTTGATGATGGTGATTCTGATGCTGCTGATGATAATGAGGATGATGATGACGATGATGATGCGGATGGTGATTGGTGATGGTGATGGTGACGCTGATGATGCTGATGATGATGCTCATGATAATCATGATAATGATGATGATGATGATGATGATGATGATGATGATGATGATGATGATGATGATGATGATGATGATGAGGATGATGATGATGATGATGATGATGATGATGATGCTGATGATGATGATGATGACGATGATGATGATGATGATGATGATGATGATGATGATGATGATGATGTTGGTGGTTTTGGTGACGACGACGAGGACGACGATGACGACGACGGGAAGAACGACGACGACCACGACGACGACGGGGAGGACGAGGCGGCAGGCTGTCACGTGTGAGGAATTTCGTTTCCACATATGGATGAGCTCTCACGGAGCTTATTTGGGATGCCTTGGGGCGATCTTGGGCTTCTGCTGGGAGGTTTCGGGGTTCCCGTGAGGCCCAAGCTTGCCGTCGTGGGGCCCCTTGCCTCCGTCTCAGGGATCTCTTGGGCAGTCAGGGGGCCCTGTTGGCTGTTAGTAGGGCGTCTTGGGGCCGTCATGGGTTGTCGAGGGGCTCTGTGATGCAGTCTTGGGTCCCTCCTCTCTTTCCTCTCTTGTTTTTTCGTTCTCTCATTTTCACACATTTTACCACCAACCCATTCTCTGACATGTTCTGTCACGCCTCCCTCTCTTCCCTCTTCCCCCCTCTCTATTTGTTTCGTCTCCTGCTCTCTCGCTTTCTCTCTCTCTCTGTTTCTCTTATTATCTCTCTCTCCTTTCCTTCGTCCCTCATATCTGTTAGTTTGTCTCCTCTCATCTCGCAAGCCTCCTTTCTTTGTGCCAGTGCCCAGTCTGAATTCTAATATCCTCTCTGCCTAACCAGTTGCGGATTTTGTCCCCGCGCCCTGTCTGGGTGGACCACGGGTTAAGTACCGCAAACACGATCTGGGGAGGAAGGTCCTGTGCGAAACCCAATTCGGCGAACAGAGCGCGATTATGACTAATGGGAAGGGATGGGCGGGAGTGGTAGCATGTCGGATATTGTGCAAGAGATTACAATCCCCCATTCTTTTCCATGTGTGGCCTTTCCTCTCCTCTCCTGTATCCGCGGGCAGCTCCCGCGAGGTGCAGATCCTGGTAGTGCTCTGGCAGCGCAGGCGGGACCGCACGGGACATGCGATTTGCTAGCGGCGGGGAGGAGAAGGACGATGATGATGATGATGATGATGATGATGATGATGATGATGATGATGATGATGATGATGATGATGATGATGGTGATGATGATGATGATGATGATGATGATGATGATGATGATGATGCTGATGCTGATGATGATGATGATGATGATGATGATGATGAGATGATGATGATGATGATGATGATGATGATGATGATGATGATGATGATGATGATGATGAGGAGGAGGAGGAGGAGGAGGAGGAGGAGGAGGAGGAGGAGGACGAGGAGGAAGAGGAGAGGAGGAGGACGAGGAGGACGAGGAGGAGGAGGAGGAGGAGGAGGAGGAGGAGGAGGAGGTGGTGGAGGAGGAGGAGGAGGAGGAGGAAGATTATGAAGGTGGAGGAGATGAGGGAGGGCACGGCGGAAAATGAAGAGCGAGGGGAAGGAGCGTGCGGCGGAGGAGGTCATATGCAGCGATGCTGGGCCCAGGATCGGCCAGGCCAGAACCGGTGAGGCTGTCCTTCGAAGCCCCCCCCCCCCGCCCCGCCGATCTGTTCTCTCGTCCTGGCCCGGAGCCCGTGCCGCAATATGTTCTCTGGGGTCGGTTGCATAGGCGGCAGCCTTGAGGGCGGGCTCGGAGAGGAGGCTCAGGAGAGAGTAATGATGATGATGATGATGATGATGATGATGATGATGATGATGATGATGATGATGATGATGATGATGATGATGATGATGATGATGATGATGATGATGACGATCATGATGATGATGATGATGATGATGATGATGATGATGATGATGATGATGATGCTGATGATGATGATGCTGATGATGATGATGATGATGATGATGATGATGATGATGATGATGATGGTGATGCTGATGGTGATAATGCTGCTGCTGATGATGATGAATGGTGATGGTGATGATGGTGATGATGATGGTAGTGATGGTGGTGATGATGATGGTGGTGATGATGATGATGATGCTGATGCTGATGCTGCTGCTGTGATGGTGGTGATGATGGCCATGATGATGATGATGATGATGACGGTGGTGATTCTGATGATTATTATGACGATGAGGATAGCGATGATGGTGATGATGATGGTGATGATGATGGTGATGATGATGGTGATGATGATGGTGATGATGATGGTGATGATGATGAGGATATGACGATGCTGATGCTGATGCTGATGTTGATAATGATGTGGCTGCTGATGATGATGATGATGATGACGACGATGATGATGATTACGATGATGGTGATGATGATGATGATGATGATGATGATGATGATGATGATGATGATGATGATGCTGATGCTGATGCTGAGGCTGATGCTGATGCTGCTGATGATGATGATGATGATGATGATGATGATGATGATGATGATGCTGTTATTGTTGATGATGATGATGAGAAGGAGGAGGAGGAGGATGGCCCTAGTCAAGCACCACGGGGCCCTGCCCTGCAATGCACCTCGGAACGGGGTCGCCATATCTACCCTGAGCTGAACGCAGAGGCCGACGCGCTAGCGTATAGGGATGGCTTCGCTTACACCCAGCATCGCACTGTACACGGGCTCCGTTGTTTCCGCATTTTCGACGGCTGCGCAACTGTGAACGGCGCGGGAGGTGGATGAGTGCTCTAAGGCGCCCCGTGCGTGGTGGCGGACGAAACGGACGAATGGGCCACGATCGCCGAGCTGAGCTTCCCCTTACGCGCGGGGGCCACGGTCACGGCGGCAGAGCTGGAGGCGTGCATCTGGGCGGTCTCGTACCTCGGCGTTGCTTTGGACAACCCTGCGACGGCAAATTTCCGTGAGGAGCTGTGACGGCCGCTTGACACCAGTTTCTTCCGAGTCCTGGTGATGACGACGACGAGGATCATGATGATGATGCTGCTACGGATAGTGATGATGATAATGATGATGCTGCTGCTGCTGATGATGATGATGAGGATACTGATGATGATGTTTATGATGCTGATGATGATAATGATGATGATGATTCCGATGATGATGATGATGATGCTGATGCTGATGATGATGATGATGATGATGATGATGATGGTGGTGGTGGTGGTGGTGGTGGTGGTGATGATGATGGTGGTGGTGATGATGATGATGATGATGATGATGATGATGATTCATGGGCTTACGCCGCACCGCCGACCCCTTGAGACTTCTGGGAAGCCCTTGGGGGGTTCCTTGCAGCACCAACATTATGTTTCTGGCTATCTCTTGCGTGGTCTTACTCGTGCACTGTGTCGCAGCCGTCACCGTCGACATAGTCAGGGCTTCCATCGCCACCAGACTGCTGGCACACGGAGCACGCCCAGAGGGATCGCGATCCTCCTCCTCCAGCCATGCGACAAGAAACCCAACGTTTTGCAGTCTGAGGGACGCTGTTGCTGTGCGTATCGTGTTCGGTGGAGCTCCCCTCATGTCGCCGCGACAAACCGCCGCCGGCCGCTGCGGCGTCGCACCAGGCCCACCCCCAGCAGCCGCCGAACCAGGCCGTCGCGCGAATCTTCATATGCTACGTGTATATATTCAATGATAGTATATAGATACACATACATATATGTATACATACATACATATACACATCCCATCCTATTTTATACACGCGCGTACGTAACGTGGGCAGGCATGCGTGCACAGAGGTGGCACTCCTCGGTCCGTAGTGAGGCCGCCCATCCTCTTTGCCCCGGCTTCCGTGGCCAGTTTCGGCCCTTGCTGCGCGCGCGCGTAGGGTCCCTGTCCATGCGGGGCGTGCGGCAGCCGCAGCGACCTGCAGGGCGTCTGCAGGTTTTTTCCGTTCTTTTTTTTTGTGTGGTGTTTTTTTTTGATCGTGTCGGAGTTTTCTTGGAGTGCCGTTGCGGAGCGTGTCGGAGAATTGCCGTGGTGTGGGGGTGTCCGTTTGGCGGTCGATCGGTCGGTCGTCCGTCGTTGTCGGTGTCGTCGCGGACCGTCGTTCAACGCCGACGGGACCCTGTGAAACCAGGGAGTGTAGGCGACATGTACATCATAGACATACATGGGAAGCGGGGCGCCCCCCTGAGAAGACACCTAGGTGAACCAGGAGCGCCCCCCCTGCTCGTCATGACAGAGTGTGCCCGATCTACGCGTAGGTGCTGTTTTAACATTGGGTTTCAGCTTGTTGTTAACGATGCTTTATCGACGGTGTGAACGTTTTTCGGGTGTGAGCAGTGCTGCATGTCGCATGCCGCATGGCCCGGAATGTGCCCGACCACGCATGGCCGAGGGTTCCTCTTTGGAGCACTCGGGTCCGCCAGAACTGAAAACGCCAGGGAGACACATGGAAGAGGAGGAGAATAACGAGCATAACCGTGCCAGGAAAAGGAGAAACGCCAAGGAGGGGGCTCGGATGAGAAGAGCGAGCAGGGGAGAGGAGGAGAAGAGGAGGAGGGGGAGGAGCGGAACAGGAGGGGAAGAGGGGGGGCGCCGCGCCGCCGTTTGAAGAAATGGCGGTCGGGGCGCGGCGTCGCGACGCGCTGCGCCAGCATCTGGGCGCGGCCAATGGCCGCGGACCGCCTCTGCCGCAGTGAGAGCAGGCGGGGGGGATGCCAGCTGTATACTTACATCAGACAATACATCAGACAAGCTCGTGTGCATCCCGGCGCTGCTTGGGTTGGTGAAATCGCGTCCAAGGCCAAGCCTGAAGTGCGTTAGTCACCGACCCAAGGCCCATGCTGTAACTTTCTCGTTGGTGTTGGAATATAACTGGCATCCCCCGAGCCTGCAGGATGAGGAGCCGCTCTAGGACTAGGGCGAGGAGGAGGAAGAGGCACCCCAGCACCAGCACCAGCAGTAGCAGAAGCAGAAGCAGAAACAGGAGCTGGAACCGGTGGTCATCGTGGGACTCCTGGGGCCACGACTGGTGGTTGTGGGACTCCTGGGGCCACGATTCCTGGTCGTGGGATTCCTGGGGCTGGCGTAGGCCCGGGTGGCCCAAGAGCCCCGAGCGGAGCTCGTCGTCCGACTCCGGGTCCAGCGGTTCCTGGGAATGGGTGCGCGAGTGCTGGAGCGAGGTGAAGCGGCGGTGGCAGACAGAGAAGCCGACGACGAGAAAGAACAATCCAGGCCGCCCAAATGGGTTCAAGTGGGTGAGGTGAGTTGTACTTGTAGTACGGTAGCCCGCGCATCTCCTGGGCCCTGGGATCCTGGGGCGCGGGGCAGCGGGCGCATCGCTGATGCGTCGCTGATGCGTCGCTGATGCATCGACGACTGGATCGACAACCCGGGTGGGCGGCCCACCGGCCGAAGTCACCGCCTGGACCACCGCCGCGGCCGCCGCCGAAGAAGGGGCCCCGTCGGCCGAGGTCGCCGCCTGGACCGCCGCCGCGGCCGCCGTCGAAGAAGGAACCGTCCCAGCCGTCTCAGCCGCCCCAGCCCGAGCCCCAGCCGAATCCGACCCATCGGCAGAGGAGGCCCCAGAAGAGGAGGGGCGGTCAGGAACAGAAGAAGAGGATGGCGGCGAAGGCGGCGAGGGCCGCGGCGGCGGCGCCGAAGCTCACCCTGACGGGCAAGTGGGTTCGGCATCCGAGGTGGCAGCAGCGGCAGCAGCAGCAGCAGCAGCAGCAGAGGACGCAGTCGAAGTCGAAGTTGCTCTTGCAGGAGGAGCGATCCTCTAAGATGGTGAACCTCCATCCTGCAACCTTCCTCCTCCTCCTCTTCCTCCTCGCCTTCTCCCCGTCCAATTCCCCCCCACCTCCTGGGGGGGAGGCGGAGAAGTGGGGGGGGAGATGCTGCGGACGAGGGTGACTTCCTCATCCTCACTATTATGATCCCCCTCGTCCTTCTCCCATCTCCGTTGTCCTCCAACTCATCCTCCGCTTCTGGGGGATCCCAGCGCGTTCGCAGGGAACGCGGCAAGGATTCAAGCGGCGCTGGCCGCTCGCGAGATGCCCGGCGAGGAGGGGGGGGAGGAGGAGGATGGGG